AAATTTAACCCAATCTTGCATTGTACAAGCAATATAACCAGCAGGACCTGTTGCAGCTTGATCATTGCGCAAGAAGATAGAACTGGGAAGCGGACGTGGAACAGGTATTGTTTTATTAGGAGCTAAATCATGACCAACTGGTGTTTTAGGTGGAATAATGTCATCATAAACTACACCAATAGTAGCACTTGTCATTTGTAATGCAGTAAAGACATGTTCTTGCACTAGAGATTCCCAATCTCGACCAGTTATTTGTTCCATCATAGCAGCAGCAACAGCATAACCTTGATTCGCATAAAGAAATTCACCCGGTTGAACTTCTGGAACATCTTTTAGAACAGTTTCAGTAACCCAATAACGAATTTGACAAAAGGTACCTTTTTGTGCTAATAATGCATCATAGTAACGACTATAGAAAGTAGTACTTTGTTGTACACCGGAACGATGTGCTAAGAATTGTTCTAAAGTAGCATTTCGAAAAGCACTATTAAAACTCATAAAGTTAGAAAAACATTCATGCACTTGTGTCGTCCATGAAAGAACTTTTGATCAACTAGACGACCAGCTACTGTGGCTGTCATCCATTTCGAGTTTGAACCAAGATTAATACGATCAGTGACGAGAAGTGGTGTTGGATTACCTAGTCGTCGATAACCTGATGCTCCTTGTGCAACAATACTTCCATTTTTGAAAGCTAAAGCAGATAGTCCAGGCATATTATGATTCACACGAATAAGTTCTAAATCAGCGCTGACATTAGCAATAGCAGCAAGAACTCGATCGTTTTGTAGTTGTTGAAAAAAAAGGATACAAATAATAATGAAAATCATCTATAAAATAAAAAAGAACAAAGTAGAATGTTTGCGTGCAATCAGGTTTTATTACAGCTATATAATAAATCACTTAACAACTAGGATATAGGCCTATTAATCTTCAGAATTAATTGTGAAAACTTTAATACAAAAAGATGAAATGAAAATTGATATTTCAATTTTGTTGCAAACATGGATTTATTTATTCGACTTCATCGAATAACTTTTTCATCAATATTGTAGTACATTGAAATAAGATATAAATAAAAGAAATAAATGTATAATAATGTAATGAGAATCTTAATTTAGTGGAAATCTTCGATTGCTATCGATCATTATCAACCAAAAACACAACTAAGAATATAAATATAATGAAATTACAACTACAATTATATATATACAAAAACATTTAAACTTTACCAACAATATCAATAACAACATGAACAATTGATAATGATGTAGATTATCACCAATAATATATTAGTGATTTAATTCGATCTTAAGTTAAATCATATTTTTTTTTTCCATATATACCTATGTACTTACTAATAGCTCATGTAAGAATATCTACTGTATGAATAATAATAATGTATGAAAATGATAAAAACATGAGATTTAAATACAATATCAAGTAAATAGACTTAATGAAATGAAAAACTTATTCTAATGGAAATTTTATTCGTACTTGAGTTTTAGGAAGTATATAGGTATATATAGAATAAATTATGATTTAATTTAAGATCGAATTAAATTACTAATTTATTATTCATGATAATCAACATTATGATCAGATATTCATGTTGTTATTGATATTGTTGGTAAAGTTTACAAGTTTTTGTATATATATAATTGTAGTTATAACATCATTATACTTGTGTATAATTGTAGTTGTAACCTCATTACATTTATATTCTTAGTTGTGTTTTTGGTTGATAAAGATCGAACATTTCCATTGAATTAACATTTTCATGACATATTCTCTATTTATTTTCATTTATTTAAATTCGCATAAAATATCATGTTTTCATTCATTTTTTCGTACATTATTATTATTATTAAGTAGATATTCATACATGACTTGTTCGTAAGTATATAGGTATGGAATAAATTATAATTTAACTGAAGATCAAATTGAATGATTAAATTATTAATTTATTCTAGGTAATAACCAACATTGGTTGTCAATTGTTTATGTTCTTAAAGTTTATATGTTTTGTATGTATATAACTGTAGTTGTAACTTCGTGATATATTTGTATTTTCGATTGTGTTTGGTTGATAATGATCGAAAAAAGGTTGAAAATTTCCGTTATTGTTAAAAATATAAAATCTCCTGCTTTCATTATTATTTTCATAAAATATTTCATGTTTTCTTTTTTCATTACCTTGATTAGAACAAGAGATAAGTAGCATTGAAATTTGTTAATCAATTTCACTTCATATTATATGATAATGATAAGATATCATATACTGGAAAACTATGTCTGTGGATAATTTATTAGCGGCTATAATCTGATAGTTTTAAAGTACTAGTTCATAATAATTCGTATAAAATGTTTATTGAAACCGACAAAAAACATGTTCTTAATACTTTCAATATCATACAGTATTACGTTCAAGTTTGCTCTTATTGAGTTAGGTCTAGTATGTATGCTAATAAATGTTTAATCATAAAATACTTTATTTCAATAAAGAATGAAGAGTTTTCTTATCAATATTTTAAGATGATCATAAGATAGCAAATAAAACTTGCAAATATTGATAAAAACTATAAGTGTCAATACACCACGAGGAAAAATGGATAAGTGATTATGTATAACTGGAGCATGCACAGATGCTTTACTCGTTGTTGTTGTCTTTTAGACATATCTTGCAAGAAGCAGATTGGCAGCATTGTCTAAAGCTAATCCAGTTTTATCAGCTGATAAACAATTTGTAAAAATAGCCACAACTAAATCACGACCAGGAGTCATCCAGAAGACAGTTTCATGTCCAAAAAGATCTCCCCAGTGTACTAGAGCTTGACCAGGCGTTGCCCATGCGCGATTGTAAGCTTGAACTCCTAAACCAAAACCCTCTACATCTATAAATGGACGTTTAAGCTTGTCTGCTGTTGCAGCAGTCAAATATCCAGTACTAACGCCTATTACATGTGCACGTAGAAATTTAACCCAATCTTGCATTGTACAAGCAATATAACCAGCAGGAC